TCTGGAAAGCCCTCTGAAACCACAACTAATTTGGCCCCAGCCGCCCGCCCCTGTACATTCACTGCTCAGAAGCTGCTGCCAGCCCCCCAGGCAGAAACTGCGAGGGGAGAGGGATGTTCCCCCCCGGCTCGCACGCATAGCAGGRCCGGTCCCCACGGCCAAACAGATCTGGAAACTCATCACAGCTGGGCTCTGCTTTTGAGGTCTCAATAGGACGKGGCATAGCGTGGCCGACCGCGGCAGACAGCAGTTCTTCCGAGCACAATGTCCCTTTCACAGCCCCGCTCCCAAATCTAAATGCTGGCTGTGTAACACAGCCGCACTTCATCGGCCGCGTAAAGGGCGGTATATAAATTAGACCTGAGCAAAACCAGTCGCTTGGCGTGCTCCGGGGAGGTGGGACCATAATCCGCCGAGCAGGGCGCCTCGCTCCCCGGGCGCCCCCGAGCAAAGCCCCTCGGCTTGGCCGGGCTGCGGGGCTGGCGTGACGCACACATGGTTAACAAAAACGGCTCAGCAGTAAGTGGGGATTTAACTGGATGTGAGGATGACTAACTTCGCTGTCTGAAACACTATCTCCGTCTTTCAACTCCTTAACTTCACCGTAACCCTCTTCAAGGCATCGCCTCAGCAGCCTGGCTTTGTTCTGACAAGTTGCACCTTTGCTGCACAGACTCATTAGGCAAGCAGGGAGTCACCCAAAGATACATTGCTTTTCCTCCAAGCTTATCCCACCCTGACTTCACCAGCGAACGCTTCTCATCATTTTTGTCTGCAGGAGTTTTTGACAGTGGTGCGTGTCCATTAGAGTTTTCCKGTGCCAGCAGCCGAATCAGACTAACTGCATCACAGTCTACATAGAGAATAGTTTCTCCTTTTCAGTTCTTTTGGATGAAAAATATCCCCGCACAACATTTATTTTTTTTTTTTTTTAATGAAGTCGATCAGAAACAAACATTTTTTCATCACATACTTCAGAGCATTAAGCTAGACATATAAAGATTTAAACAAAGACTTTATCCCTAAGCAAATCAGTCCTAGCGATTTAGCTGTAAAGTTTATAGATGAACTTTAAAGAAAATAACCTGGTTCAAACAGATCTTGCCTTCTGGGCACTAGCAAACACACCTGCAGCAATTTGATACTTGGGAATGCAGATTACAAGTCCTTCACTTCAAAATGTTTGTTTTTTAATTCAGAAAGATGAAAGAAAATAAAGTAGTGAGATTTTTTTTTTTTTTGGTGGAGCACAGATGTTTCCAGTGCTTGCAGCGAATGGGAACCTGACCCAAACATTGCAATAATCCAGAAATTTGGAGGAAAATGCATGCTTTCTGGAGTCCCATCTTCATGAACTTTCTGAAAGTTAATACCGCTAGCTTCTCTCTCTAGGCAATCACTTCCTACCAAACTAAAATAAGAACTGTATACTACACAAGCCTCAATATCCCAGTGTGTTCTGCTGCAGTGTCCATAACTTTTGCCTTCATCAAATTTTCTATGCTTCTAACCCTAAGGAAATGCAGTAGGCAGTAGCCATCTACTTGATATAATTAACTGAAACACTGTAATGCCAAACAAACTTACTCCTATTTTGGTCCTGCTCATTTGCTGGTTTTTTTTTGCCTGTTTAATTAATGAAGACTAATGAAGACTAATGAAGACTTTTTCAAATACGTTTTTCCAAGGTCAGATCTCCATTCTTTGCAGCTCCTCTCTCAGGACCTGTCCTGTTCCTACTTCCACAGTATTTAGTTAGGTCACATTTCACCAAAAGTTACTGGTTTTCTCTCAGTATTTGTTTCCACTGCACTACGAGGGAGCGGAAGATTCTAACTCACATAAGAAACTATAAATTACTCATTCTTGCAATCTTAACTCTCTTGTCCTCTTAAGAACTATCCTTGTCTAATTTGATTATACCAACTTGATTTTTATCTTACGAGAGTGATGAGTGAGAAACAGTGAGAATGAATTACGATTAAAAGCGCCGTTGGTTCTAGTCTCATTTCTGAGTCCATGATTTTCCTTGCAACTAAATAATTTCATTTTAAATCTACAACAATATAACYAGTACCACATGAAACAAACTCACATGAGCGAAAAATCAGGTGGGGGGTTTGCACGCTTGTAACACACCACGCAATACACACTGGCTAACAGTTGCATTGCAAACCCAGGGCAGSTTTTTCCTCCCACAGGGGAGAGGCAAAAAATACCACACAAGTTAAGGTCATGTTTGGGTTGCGTCTTATCCTCTATTTTTACTTTGCAGACCCTCGTGAACTAGAAAATTCATGATGCTGCAGGAGTGCACTAGCTTAGTGAATTGTAACAGGATTAACGTACGGAAGATGTGCTGAAGTTGGAGACCTACAGCATTCTGCCCTAAACCCTGCAATGGCCAATTTTGCCAGCATTTCAGTTGAAACCCCAATGCTGTCTGGGATTGTTACTTGCCTGTTCTGAGTTTGCACTATCCATGTACTATTCCCTCAACAACCATTTACCTTTTACTCTACAATCACGTCTCTATCAAAGCAATATTTCAAAGGCCTAAGGCAATGGCTGCAGGTGTACCACTGTTTTTTTGCCGAGCCAAAAATAAAACAACAAATTAGACCAGAAAAACACTATCACACTTGTAACAATTACAATATTTGATTATTATTATTATATTACTTCAGATCACAGAGGTCTTCTTAAAAATGGAGAATAAGGAAATACTAGAGTTAGAACTACTAACATTGCTATCTTCGTATTTATAAGCACTGGAACAACCCTTAAACAATTAAAAGCTTTCTGGACCACAAAAATTCTAGTTTTGTTGTATTTTCATGAGATGCAACATAAAAATTTCACACTTTGAGAAAATTTTGATATTTCATAATCCATTTATATATTTACTCATGCATAAACTGTTTACACTTTCTTCAAAACTGAAAACAAAATTCACTCTAAATTTTCAAAAAGAAATATTAATTTGGACTCTAACTAAATTATTTTTCCACATTTCTATACCATCAACTTTCACAGACCAAATTACAGCCACCGTATTATGGTTCAGGTTTCAGCCTGATTTTAAATTCCCATGCAGTGAAGATTAATCCCACTGCTTACAAAGTTACAAGACTGGATTCCTGAATGCATTTTCCTGTATTTTTATTTACTCTTGTTAATATGAGTTTCTTTGATTAGCTAAACTTTCCTGTTATCAACACTTGTCTCTTATCACAGGCCCTAGGCAAATGACATATTTACCACTCATTCCATTCTGATAAGGGTAATCCTGTGTTTAACTTGCCCAAGAACAAACACCATATATTTTGTTTTTAAGAATCCTGCTTCTTCTAGGTATTAATAACATACAAGAGAAAGAGCAGGACATTTTAAAGCCAGAAGTTATTTAAAGAATATTTTGTGAGTGTAARCTTTTAACGACAGTACATATGCCTCCTACTCTAGGAAAGTTTATTTAATTCCAAGTTTCCGCAATATCACGACTGAAGTTTTCCTAAACTTTAAACCATGAAAGGAGGAAAACRCATTTTTAGTAAAACATCTGGTTTGGATTTTTGCTTTTGCTAACTGAAGCTCTTCCACGGCCAGTAACATTATTTTGAAGTAAAAGCTTTGTTTCATATTTTGTTTGAAGCACTTTGAAAAGAGTGCGAAGAAAATAAATATCCCATGCTGAAGTTCARTCTCCTTTTAATTGCAAAGACATCAAAACATTTGCAGTGTTGTAGGTTGGTAGTCACTGATTTTTACAATTCTATTTTCATTACTCAACCCACACAAAYGTCATATGTGTCTGAAAACTTTTGAGCCGAGTGAAACATACTATTTCACCAAACACTGTTAAATTTGTTTTTCAGTTACCCACTCCACCCCTTTGAAAGGTCGAAGGGAGAACTCTTCTAATTCCCAGTTAACTTTTTAACATACCGCAAAACACAAATTTCCAACAGCATTATACGGTTAATGGTGTACTGAAGTGCCCAAGAGCGTGCTAAAAACATTTTGATAGATAGCCAAGTCATTTATCTAAATCACCGTCAGAGCAGTGAAGCATCCTGCAAGCTTTTAAGCATAGTATTARGTGATGTTTTCTGGCACTTTTTATCATTTCTCAAACTTGAAACTGGGGTGTTAAAATASTGCTATTGTTTATCATCACCAACAAATCAAGACCCTATAACATAATAACACATTTTCAGAAGTGTTCTACAACTAACTCTCACTCCTCTGTTAACAGTGCATCGCTGTCTGAATCKCAAGGTATAGAAATAATTGATGGTTAAACTCAAAGGGTGTTCACAGTAAGTAGTTTTCTAGCAAAACAGCAACTTCTTAGAGCAACAAAGTGAAGAAGAAAGGTGGCAGCAAGGTCAGTACAAAGAAATATTGCCTTTTCTTCGGAAACTTATAACTACTGTCTGATTTTTGGAATGGCACCTACCCACTGCAATTCCATATCTTTGCAAGAACAGTAGAGATCAACATTTTAATTGCTTGGCTGCTCTGCTAAAATGCACTTCAAGACAACATGCAYCCTGATTAGCAAATGTGCTACAAAATTAGATTAAGGAGGGGAGAAAAAAAAAAAAAAAAAGCTGCCACGGAGATGTTATGTAAATTCATCCCTCACTGGTTGGACTTTTGCAGGTATTTGCTGTATTACATTACTATTTTATGTGTTCCTGTTTGGCTCCACAACTGTTGTTAGGATCAATATACCACACGAGAAGGAATAAACAGAAAGAAGTCCGGTGCCTCTTTCCTTTTTCCTTTCTTGCCAAAAGGAGAAAAAAAAGCTTGCAAACCACATTTTGCACAAAAACTCACCCCACCCCTCATTACCTCTGCGCTTAATTACGAGTTATTTCTTTTTTAAATACATGCAAGTAAATAAATAAATTAAATAACAACAACAAYAATAATAATAATTATAATAATAGTAATTGCTTTAAAGTGGAAAAATAACAGTTGGGACCTACATTGAGCACTGTGCCGGTGTTGCCACTCTGTTTGTGCCAATCCACTGAAGCATGCTTTGAGAGCCTTCTCCTGGAGCATGCAGGAAGACGGACTCGCAGTGTAGAAATCCAGCATCTGAGCAGGGCTCACTGCTAGAACGTCCATACAGTCAAACATGATTCCCCCTGCACAGAATGCCTGCAAAAGTGCTTTCCTCTAGGTGTGGAGGAAAATGGCACATAAAAGTACACCCAACTCCATCAAACTCTGCCCCTTTTTTGGCACGTAGGCTGTTGGTCTTTTTCCCAGACCAGAATCATGAATTATGACAGACAACACAGCTAAAAGCCTGTAATTGATCCAAATGATCATTTACCATTTTCCAGGCTGCCCAGCCAATCCAGCAAGATGGGGGGATGCGAGCCACATTCCAAGTTTTAGCTACCATCAATTTCCCCCCAAAATTTCTYGAGAGTCAGTCCAGCTCCTGGGGCGCTCGCCGGGTGTGTGCCGCGTCCCACGCCGTGCCAATCGCCCACCTCCCCGGGATAAAACAGCTCCGGTGGAGGCTCGGGATCCCCCTCGGCCGTGAATAGATGCTTCTGCCTCTGAACAGCTCACTTCCTACTACTTGTGTCACAGGGAATGAAAGATTGAATTGCCTAATATATGCGAGTGAACTTTCCGTGAACCCTTCCCAGGCTGCTAACCTTCAAATGACCCAAGCGGTCTGACATCACCAGCTCCCAGGATTCTCACACGCCTTCACAACTCCCAGCAGCCCTGCAAAAAAGCCAGGCAGGCGGGCGGGCAGGCAAAGGCGAGCCCCAGCCCTGCCGGAGTCGCCCCGCGGCCGCCGAGCGGGCGGGTGCGGACGGGGAGCGCAGCTTACAAAAAAAGATCCAAAATAATAAAGTAATAAAAAGAAACAAAACAAACCACAACAASGAGGAGGAGGGGAAAGGGGGGTGGGAAGTAACACAGCGGTGTTTTCAGCGCTTGCAGGCAACGGAGAATTTGAMAATTCCAGCTCAATTTGCTGAAAGTTCTGTGCCCCCCTCCCTCACACACACATTCCTTTCCTCGCCGGAGAGGCCACGAGCGAGGCGCAGGCGCTGCCGCTGTTCCCCAGCCAGGGATTCGGGCTTCGCCCCAGCTGCGGGGCTRGCGGGCTGGGCTGGGAGCAGCCTCATCCCGGCGCTGCTCCGGCACACGCCAGCAGGGTCCCCGCTCAATGCCACCCGCGGGGACCCCGCTCAATACCACTCGCAGAGACCATGGCCGGTGCCAGCCCCGCTYCCAGCAGGGGCCCGTCCCTCCTGGGCGGGCGGGGGCGGTCAGGCCCCATCTCTCCGCACCATCCGTTCCTCACCCCGGCTCTTGAGCCGCCCAGCGCTCCGCGGCTCCCCCGATGGGTGAGCTTTGGCCGTGCCCGGGAGGGCCCGTCCCCGCCGCTGAGCCCAGGGCAGGAAGCAGCCCCGCATCCCCTCYTGGCCCTTCGCAGCCCCGCCGCCGCCGGGCCCTGCCTGTCTCTGATTAGCACAGAGGGGCTGGGGCCGCTCGTGTGAGCCCGGAGGGGCTGTATCAGCTTTCAGAGGGCTAATGAGCGCCAGCTCCCCGGGAGGGGAGAAAGGCCACGAGCTAATCCTTGGGGAGCAGGGCCCAGGCCGTGGTGCTGAGCGGGGACACCTCCCTGGGCAGGCGGCCCGGGCCGAGCCCTCACAGCCACTCTGAGGGGCTGCTCCCACCCGCTAYGGTCTGTGCTAAACCACACCGCCGGCAGCCCGCCCTCATGGCCGGAGGAGGTGTCAAAGCCTTCCCAAGTCTGTGGCCACCATGTCACAGGCGGCCCTGTGCGGGGCCACCACTTGGCATGAAGGCAGCAGAGAGCKCCGGGCTTTTCAGGTGGATAACTGCCTTCTCCAAAATCTTGCTCATTGAGAAAGACTCCATGGAAGCTGCCACCAGTCCTTATTCCTATGGACAATTTAAAATTAAAAACAACAGCCTGGAAACATTCCCTCTGCCCCAATGGAAAGGACATGAGCTCAATAACCACATGCATGCTTTATTTGAAATGAAACAAGCCAAGCCACCTCAGCCCCAGCAGAATGAGCATCATCCAGGAGCAAGGCATGCAGGAGCCTTGCTTCCCTGCTCCAAAGCAAGCTCGGGTGCAGAAACTAGAAAACGGAGCACTTGATTATTGCCCGTTTCTTGCAAAGCCCAAGRTGGGAATCGGGCAGAGAAGGGCGCACCGAGCAGGCATGGCACACCACTGGCGACCGCAAAGAAATGCTGGAGAGAGACTCACCCTGGGACCTGCGCAGCCACTTTAATGGATGTGGTGTCCCCTCTCCACAAAAAGTCCTTTGATGAACCGAAAGCTCTCTGACAATGCCTGCAGATTGTATTAACAAAACTTTTCACACAGATTCAAGAATTTWAAAAAAACCAAGCCACAAAACAAATCCCCCACACAGCACACGCACTTGTTCCCTGAAACTGATATACCCACACTGAAAACCAGCGGCCAACAAAAAAAACCTGCTGCAATCTGGAAGCGAATCCTTTTGAAGAGATTAAAACAAAAGCTTTTCTTAGTCTCCCTCCCCTCAACGGGAGATCTGTAGTTGTCCCTGCAGCAGGAAGCCTCTCTTTCTCTCTTCCCTTCAGGCAGAAGAGTTGCAAATGCTGGAGTTTAACAGCATCTTTTTAAAGGACTTTTAGAGGACTTTCTCAGCCCTTTGGGGTGTCCTCCCCCAGCCTGAACTCCTGCAGATGAAGAAGCCCCTGACACTCTCTAATCCAAAATTTATGCACAGCATACGCTTACTGAAAAAAACATCCTTCAGGGAAGGCTTGTTTAAACTATTTCAACACAGCAAAACCGTGTTTGTTGCGTTAAAATAGCCAAGTGGAATAAGTTGCTAAACTTTTTTTTTTCTTTTTCTTTTTTTTTTTTTTTTTTTTTTTTTTTTTTTTTTTTTTGCCACATAACTACAATGTTGTTTGGAATACCAAAGCTAAATTGAAAGACAGTTATTTTCTAACCAGACGATACAGGACACAACAGAAATTTGGAATACGTAATGTGTCGCTACAAAAATAACTGGAAAGGATGACACRAAACACAGTATGTTTTTTTCAGTCTCCGATTTAGGGAGAAAACAGSTTTTTGTGGAGACCAGAGTTCTTGGAACAGTTTAAGCTTATGCCAAGAAAAACATATTGCCCATGTTGAGTTAAAAGTAAACAAAATCAGACAAACAGAAATACAGTTATGTTTATCCCATTAGTAGTCTTATAATACCATATTAAAAAACAATACCTCTCGGTTGTACCTCAAAACGTAGAGTAGCAGCTTCTGAAAGTAAGTGTTGGAAAGTGCTGCTTAAGTGTGTATGAATTTTAAAAAGTCTGCTTTTTATCAGTGTATCAAAATAAGCCAGGTAGCTCATCATGCTTTATTACAAATAATAGTTGCACTAATGSTTATATTTATTACTAAATGCAGATGTAATTAAAAATTCCTCAAATAACCCAATGGTGTGTTTGCATACTATTTCTACAATACTCTATGCATCTCTTATTTCATTTTGAAATAGCACAATACTTGTTTTACTTCAACAGAGTATCAGGAAAAGCTATGTTCATAAAAAGGAGGATATTTTCTAATTTAGATCAGGACTAATCATGATTATTGTGCTAACTAATAGTCCTCTAGTTCAAATGTAATGAAACTTTAAGTATTGCCACATATTTTAAATGCMTATCCAGCACCCATAGAGGTGCAAGGAGGCAACAACTTTCCACTAGCTYCGACTTTGTCCATGCAAAGAAATTGTGATTTCACATCAGTGCTTTAATCTGTTTTCTCTCAAACCGTAATAGCAGAAACTTTATAATAAACATATTCTTAGCCATAAGTAAAAAAAAAAAAAAAAAAAAAAAAAAAAAAAAAAAAAGCACAAGTTCAAGTCAGAAATCTATTTCCTCTGGTGTTACTGTATATTTGTCAGTGTGACATAGCACATTTGAAACCCATAATCATAAAACAAAAATTTACAGCCAAGGTTTAGGGTCTACATCTGTTTCTCTGGTTTTTGTACTGCAATTACCCACTGGACAATTCAGAAAGCAGCACTATGAATCATGTACTGCACACATGGTTGTGCTGGTCACTTTTTGTTAGTACAAGAGGCTGAGGATGCCATAATGTGCTTCGTTGAGAGAGAGAGCATTAACTAGAATTAGGATGAGTGCACCAGGCTCTCTAATAAAAATGACTTTACTAGAAGCAACAGAGTACTTCTGGAACATTGCAGGCATATTTATAGAATGGAAAAATTAAGAAGTACATGCAAAAATTCTCCCAAACTAAGCACCTCAGGGGAAGCACACTTTTTTCTTTTGCATTCATTTTACTATTAATCAAATGTAGCACTCTCTTGAAACAGTTTTGACAGCAGAGTAAATGGTTACTAGTGAATGATGTGTGTGTTTAAGCAGTGAAAGCAGAGACAAAGTGATGTTTTCTTCTACTCCCTAGGCAAGAGCTGACACTAAGCTTGCTGCCTCAGCTTTGATACTCACAGATTCCTTTGTGTCAGTTGCTGGGAGAATCAGTGGCAGTTCACTAACCCTGCCTCACACACAGGGGCTTTGATTTTTACCTCTTCATTGACGATAGATGTTAATATGAAACAGTACTTGCCTGCCTTGGCAGGTTTTTTTTCCCCAGGTTTTTTTTTTTCCCTCCCCCAACTGGTTACACAAATCTGAAAAATCTGAAAACCTGAATTCCCTCTTCACTACATGTAGTTTTTAGTGTTGAAGGATGTTTTCCTCATGTCTCAAGCRCATGAATGATGTCAAAAGATTATGGGGAAGAAAATCACTAGGTCACAAGAGAATGGCTGAATATTTAAAACTTTAAGGTAGTCCTAGGAAATGGGTATCAAGTGTGAGCAAGAATTGCCCTGAAGAAAATAAAAAGGTAAAATTATTGGCATGAAATGGCACAAATGTCATGGAAAAACATGAAATACAGTGAAATTAAGTAAAAAGGRTTTCTTCAGTCTGCTATACACTACTATGCACAGCTTGCAATGACCRAAACAGGAATTTGTACTAACAGGAAGAATTATTTCAGGCCTGAAATATAACAGCAACTGGCGAAAGACAATTCAGTGCAGAGCAGTATTTTATTTTAGRTGGGAAAAGCAGAGTTAGTCATCTCCAGACCCAGGACTCAAGCATGCAACCAGTTTGCGAATCACTTACTGATAAAGGCTTTTTGTCTGTTTTAATCTGTGGGTATGTATTTGTAAAGATGCCTTTAAAGCTGATTGCTTAACTTTAAGGCTATAAAAATAATTCATTTCCACAAACTTGAGCATACAACCATGTTTCTTAAAATCTGTACAATCCTTTGGGCTGGAACCAGGGGAAAAGAACTGCCCTACATGATAAAACTGGAAGTGTGTCTGGCTCAGCAATCCATTTCTGAGAGTGACTGCTACTAGGTCTTTCTAAGGAAAATCCAGGAACCCCTAGTGACTGGCGAAGTATAACTCACCCATAGGTCCTCTAATAGCCTATTCTCTAACAGCAAATCACTTAAGCATTAAAGCATGAGATTTAATATCCCTTCCAAATTTGTTTTAGGTAATAGCTCTGATATTCTAGATATTCATATATAGCCAATGTCTTTTTGGATTGTGATAAATCTGTAGCTGTGTGAGACAGAAGTAG